TCACAGCGTGCTGTTTTCGTCGCGCTGTGATGACGTCACATAAGCGCTTTCATCGAGCGCGCTTTAGTCTACCGCGGTTTTGTGGTGGAACCGTTGGGTATATTTGGTTGAAGACCCATTTCTGAGATCTTTCTTCTCTCCTACAGAGGGAGAACCTGTAACTTTGCACAATGCTCGAGTATGGGCTTTGAATCCAGTTGGGTCAGTGCCCTACTTTATATTCAGTTAATTATTGCTTTTCTATCCCCTCTTCCTTCTGGGAGTTTAGAGTGCCTAGCCTGGGGATCGCCATTCAAATACCAACCTCTGAAGAAGGCCAATTTGAGAGTTATCAGCCCCAAGTCAGCCACGTTCTGGTCTCTTCAGCCCAAGCCATAATCGGTATTAAGTCTTGCCTTAGCCCTGTATTCATACATTGCACTAGCGATGAATCAAACTACCGTTGGGTTCGTGGCAAACTGAATTATAAACTATATAATCTGTTATGTAGTCATGTACTATGGTGGCTAAGTACACTGTGAGCCATAATGATTTTGATATTGGCTGAACTCATTCAATACGTTGGTGACGATAGAATTATTATTACATGGAAGAAATTTTGCAATTGTTTGTGATGAGTTTAAAAAGCTTCTAAGCTTATAAAGAAATTTCCAGAAAGCCTTCTGACTTTCTTCTAGTTGCTAGATACGTTTAGTTTATACAGTAGGTGAGTGAGCTGTGAAAAGGTCCAGCTACATCTGTTGATGCTGTGCAGCTGAAGTTCAGCTCCTCTTGAATCTGAGTGGTTTCATTATCCAGAAGTCATAAAATTCTCCACAGTGGGCCTTTCAGACTTTTTATGAAAATCGTCTTTTCCGTCTTTAATCAGATGCAATGACGTGGCAAAATATCTCAATTTTATTATTGGACTTTCACTGGGTAGATGCAAATGTGAACTCTTACTAATGGTTGGACTCAAAACAGCTCTTTAATTAATTATGTTCAATTTGTAATACTGAAAATACATCCTGCATATCAGATATTTACATTAGGATTCATAACAGTAGCAAAATTACAGTTATGAAGTAGCAACAAAAAAAAAATTTATGCTTGGGGGGTCACCACAACAGGAGGATTAAAGGGTCGGGGCATTGGGAAGGTTGAGAACCACTGTCTTAGTCCATCAGGGTAATACTTCAAAACAATCTTTCAGGTGTTTTGGATCTTATTTACAATCAAAAGTCATGGCCAATGAGAAGTGAGGACCCGGATTGTTGTTGGGGGCGATATGCTGACTCTGTAAACTGCTTAGAGAAGCGGTATATAAGTCTAACTGCTATTGCTATTGCTAAGTAAATTAAGAACTGCAGTCCAAAGTATCTTCACTAGACGTTTCCTGATCCTTCACCTACTGTTTTCTCAGATTCCTGAACCTGAATACACTGCTTATTTCAACAATATCTTCATTAAGATCTCCCACATCTCCTTGAAGTTCATAGGATTGGACTTACACGAATCTACTTCTGTTTTCTACGGTTAAATATGAGTTTTAATCCAAGTGAAAGCCACCATTTTTCTTCTGTTCTGGGCTGCCCTACCCTGCAGATACTGACAAAGCCATTTATAATAAGTCCTGAGGTCTTTAAAATAGATGCTTCAACTTCAGAGCATCTCTGAAGAGCATCTCTGAAGACTTTACCACCACTAGCAATGGTTACTTCAATTAACAAAATAAACAGATTATAATGGAGAGTTTGAAAATGGAAAGGAACCTCACATATTATCTATGGAAGGAACAATAATTCTACTGGAGCTCAGGGAAGTTTCTTTTATATCAGTATTACTAATAAACTATATATAGCAGTGATGACAAACCTTTTTCGCCTCGGGTACCAAAAGCACACATGCGCGCTATCGCGTGCGCTCACATGCCCAACCCCATAATTTAATGCCCCCCCCACACACACACACACCGTGTCCCCTGTGCATGGGCCTGGTACGTCCATTTTTCACCCTCCCCAGGCTCCAGAGGCTTTTTAGGAGCCTGGGGAGGGCGAAAAACAGCCCAACACGCAAACCGGAAGTTTGGGGACAGACTTTGGGGTTGCCCATTAGGGAGTTTTTCTGCCTCCGGAAGGCGAAAAACAGCCCAACGCGCAAATTGGAAGGCCATCCTTGAACTCCCAGTTCGCCTCCAGAGGGCGAAAAATGGCTGAAAATCAAGGCCGAAAATCAGCTGATGGGCAACGCCTCGCATGCCTTCAGAAATTGCTCCACATGCCACCTTTAGCACACATGCCATCACGGATATATAGGATCAAACCTCCATCGTACCTAAATGTCTAGAGATGTAAAAATATGCCATGACTTCAAACGCCGCCTTCATATTGTTTACCGTCATGTGACCTCCATATTGAATTCTGTTGTCCGTAATACACCTAAATGGTTTTTTGTCGTTTATATATTTCTCTAAAACATCCCACATTATCAGAGACATACCTGATTTGTGCCTATTTTTATTGCTCCTTGTTCTCTTTAACTGCAGAAATCCAAGATTGCATTTCAGATATTTATTGGTTAACAAGGGGGACCATGACCGTAATATAGAATAGAATTCCACCCGTTGTTATCATTTGCTACTGTATAGATTGTCCAGCAAAAGCTATATTTGCTCAAATTGTCATCCACCAACAGACCTGTCTAAATAAGCAATTTAAAATGAACACATTGGTGGCTAATGGAACACATTATCCTTATGTGTGTGGCCTCCATGTGCCTTTTTTTTTTTTGTATAATGCCAACATTGATTTCTGGTCGCAGTAAAATGCAGGTTGCGTTACAATGTGGAACATTTATAGTTTTCTATTTTGCCTTTTCACATTAATAAGCGAGCAGTAATATTAACAAAGTGCAAAGCTGCTGAGTAGCAGACAGCGGATTATTTTTATCTCAAACGCTTACACATAGGTTGTGCATTTTATGATCATTAGAAAGGCAAGAAGAGATTCTATTATGTTTATTATTTCTATCTACTCTTACGGCCACATTTGAAAAGCATCAGATTTGAGAAGTGGGTTGCCATGCAGTCCTGGGGACTGCATTAATCGGCGGGTAGAATCAAGATTGCGTGAAGTTTTTAATACCGCTTTACAGAGCCTTAGTAAGACCACACATGGAATACTGCATCCAGTTCCGATCACCACAATACAAAAAAGATGTTGGGACTCTGGAAAGAGTGCAGAGAAGAGCCACAAACATTATTAGGGGGCTGAAGGCTAAAACATACGAAGAACGGTTGCAGGAATTGGATATGTGTAGTCTAATGAAAAGAAAGACTAGGGCAGTGGTGGGTTTCAAAAAATTTTGGAACCTACTCTGTGGGTGTGGCCTCCTTTGTGGGTGTGGCTTGCCGGCCATGTGACCTGGTGGGAGTGGCTTGCAGGCCATGTGTTTTCTTTCTTTCTTTCTTTCTCTCTCTCTCTCTCTCTCTTTCTTTCTTTCCTTTTGTCTCTCTGTCCCTTTTTCCTTTTTTGTTTCATCTCTCTCTCACTCATTTTCTTTCTTTCTTTCTTTCTTTCTTCCTTTCTTTCTCTTTCTCTCTCTCTCTGTGTCAGTGTGTGTGTGGGGGTGGGTGGCAGTGGTGGGTTTCAAAAAATTTTGGGACCTCTTCTGTAGGTGTGGCCTGCTTTCCGGGTCCACTGGTGGAACCTCTTCTAACCGGTTCGGTAGATTTGACGAACCGGTTCCACCGAATAGGTGCGAACTGGTAGGAAGCCACCTCTGGACTAGGGGAACATGATACCACTGTTGCAATATCAGAGGGGGCTCCTACAGAGATGAGAGGGTCAAGTTATTTTCCAACGTACCAATAGGCAAGACAAGAAACAATGGTTGGAAACTAACCAAAGAGAGAAGCAACCTAGAACTAAGGAGAAATTTCCTAATGGTGAAAAAAAATAATAGAATAAACTTGCCTTCAGAAGTCGTGGGTGCTCTTATCATTGGAGGCTTTCAAAAAGAGACTGGACAGCCATTTGTCCGAAAATGATATATGGTCTCCTGCTCGAACAGGGGGTTGGACTAGAAGACCTCCAAGCTCCCTTCCAACCCTATTATTTTGCCGCTCTATTCTATGACCATGGCATAATGGATTAAAGATAGCGCAGTGGGTTGATAATTGGCAGTGGTTTTGCTGGATACAGGATCAGCATCAACCAAATATTTCCTTTCACGGAGCAGAGCAGAAATCACACTCTTTATTCTACTGCTGTTGTGTACATAAAAGGGTTATGGCATAAAATAAACCAAAGGCCACTCCCTTTGGAGATGCCCGTGCTAATTAACCACAGTATTGTTGCCAGTGGCTCTGGAAAGTTAGCATTTTTAATTGACTGTACGTACAATAGGTTATTGTTATTAAGTATGCTTCCCTTTCCCTTCTTCTTTGTTGTCTGTCTCTCTCTCTCTCTTCCCCCCACTTCCCTCCTTCCTATGATGATTCTGTTTTCTCTTGTT